TCATTAAAATAGATAGGCACTTTTGGGAGGCCATATATAATTTAATCATTTTTGGCCTTTGACACGCCGAGTTGACCGAAAGTGAGTCTAAAAATTAGCAATGAGGAATCTTGCATGTCTCACGTTATTTATAAGGGGCTGACATACTTGCAAACACGCCTATATCTCTAAATATTTTGCCATTGTCAGTAAAAAAAAAAAAAAATCTTTGGAATTTTAATCAAATCAACTGTCAAGATTAAATATTTTGCAATCATGTCTTAAAACGAGGAACACTGAATATCTAGATGCGTCAGTTAAGACTTGCGTTGGAAATAAGAAGAATTGCCTGATGTTTAACTAGACGCCCGTAATGTTACAGAAAATAATAATTAGCTTTTGTCTCAATGTTTTCCTGCGTTCATAACCCAATAGAAATCCAATAAAATTTACTCCAGTCACTAAAATATCATAAAAAAAAATAAGCCGGCAAAAATGTCTTCCGTCTTTGTTTAAACGATTTTAGGCTAATAGTATTTTTTATACATTATTTACATTATTCGGACTATTGTTCTCATCTTTGTCGCCATATTTATCACAAGGTTTCGGCCGTTGTACGCTCCGGCCTTCTTCAGGTGGTTGGAATGTCGAACTGAACCCTTTAACAAGTATATTTTTATGTATTTTTGTCTATAGAAAAAGACAAGGCTATAATGATAGGAAGAAAGAGAAATGTGTCTGAGCAGCTGTCAGCAATAGGGATTATCTAAGGAACCTAGTTCTTTAAAATTGAGTACCTATAATAATGATAATGGCTACTTTATTTTAAAGAACTAGGCTGGTTAACTAATCCCAGCTGCTGACACCTGCTCAGACACATTTCTCTTTCTTCATATTGCGAACTTTTGCTTTATACTGCAGCTATGCTGAGAAGACCCTAGTTAGAGTTTCAATGAGATAGCACATTACCTTTTGGTTTATCGCTTGTGACACACTGTTGTTCAAGGTTCGAATAAATATTTGCCAACTCTCATCACACAGACGTCCTGGGTAACACGATAAGCTACATCCAACAGCAAGGCCTCTGATCAGGAGCTTTTGAGGTGTGTGGAACCGCCCCTTAATTGCTGGTGTTCCCAGGTCCACCCTGATCCGTGGTGGTAGAACCTGTTAGGGTCCCAGCTATGGGCAAATAGTTAACCCCCAAACTGGGGTCAAAACACTATAAAAGTGAAAAAATAGGTTTTAATACCAGAAATACTTTGTAAAAAATTATTACCAGCAATACATTTTTGCAAAAAAAAAAAAGATATTTCCAGAAATATATTTTTGAAGAAAAAAAAAGAAGATATTATCAGCTATATTTTTTTTTTTTTTTTGAAAAAAATATTACCAGCAAGAAAAAAAAAATGGGGTATTAAATAACCTATTGAAATTGTTATGCCATAAACCAAACCAAAGCTTCTACAGAGTTTCAAAACAGGATCTCAAAAGTAAGGATGTCTTTTGTAATAATTTTTATGATACGCTTTTCATATGCATCGATTGTTTTAGATCAATATTGAAGTCTTCGAGTAATCGTCCATTGTTTTCTTGTCAAAGGCTAAGTGTCTGTTATGTACGTTCAGTTAATTTTATGATAAATGGATCAGTGAGCAGGAATTCGTACAAAAAGAAAATAACACTAAAAAAAAAATAAATAAAATACTATCAATTTTATTTACTTGACCCCTCACCGATTCAGGTTGTGACACAAGGTCGGTTTTTAACGTAGAGATCCAAGTGCCTTCACTCGGGCCGCTGGTCTTAGCTGGTAATAGCTTGTCCAAACTGGTCATAGCTGGTCTAAGCTGGTCAGAGCCGGTCCAAGCTAGTCATAGCCGTTATAATACCAGCGAAGGGACAAATCCCTGGGCCCGGTAAGTATCAGAATATGTATACCACTCATGAGAGAGAAGTTTGCACACTCAAAAGAAATACTATCAATTTAAGAAAACAAAATGGTTGCCAGCAAGATGAACAATCCAGAATGCGACGAAAAAAATGGAGATGCCCAAATCAACTAAGTATGAAAATTTTAAATATCTGGAAAATGTTTTAACAGAGGATGGAAAATGCGACACGGTAATCCGAAGGCGTATTGGCAGAGCAAAAACAACAGCAACAACGAAAATGAATAGCATATATAAATCGAAGAGAAAAGAATAACATATTGTGAATGTTGACTTCCCACACGCCTTTCTTTTCTGATCGCGACTCTCATATGGATGTCGTATATGACCACCAACCCGTTCAGAGATTAAAAATGGCTTCTAGAGTATGAGGCATGTAGCTTTGAGCGATAAGCATCCTCCTTTTGAACTGGCTAGTCCTAGGTATGACAATAAACTACACCTGGGATTAAGGCCTCTGATCTGGAACCACGTCTTAATTGCTTTTGTTCCCAAGCGCAGCCTGATTTAGGGCGGTAGCACCTGTTATTGTCTCAGCTATGGGCAAATAGTGACCCCAAACAAAAACAAAACACTATGAAAATATCAAAATAACAGCAATAAATTTTTATATAAAAAAATTACCAACAATAACAATTTTAAACCAGAATGACCAACAATAAATTTTATCTGTAGTTGAAGCCATAAATTTGTGTTCAAAATATTTAGATTTTGGTATTAAATAACCCATGGAGGTTGCTATGCCGCTAAAATCAACCAACCAACATGAAAGAACTCTTTTATGACATTAATTCATATGATATCCTACGATTTCTTTAAGAAATTGTACTCCGAAATATAACTTCAACAAAACTATAACATAAAGTACACATCTCACCGCCTCTAGTAATTATGTCCACACAAATATGTATATGCACAAAAGCTGAGTATCATTTGACTGTGAAAGTAGAATAAAATATCATTTTTATTACTTCAGAAGAAAATTAAATTTCGGTATTAAATGCCCAATAAAGAGTTGATATGCCGTTAAACAAACACGTCAAATCAAAAAAAAAAAAAAAAATATTGAGTTGGCGCTACAAAATCCCAAAGAAAGAACTGCACCAAATAACAGAAACCACATCATTTGAGGACTACCAACAACATCAACAATAAAATAGATAGCACTTGTAACACGAAAAAAAAATTATGACATAAACAAGATGTCGACATCACACATTTTGTTTCTATTTGCCGCGTCCTTTCAAGATATGGGTAATCATAGCTTTCCAGAAATTCCTATCTCTTGTAGCCCTTAAGCAGTTTTTCTCATTGTTAAGACTTCCGCCCTACAGTACTTTAAACAAAAGACACGAAAGAAGCCCCATCGGTACTAGAAAAAGCGACGACCATATTTGGACTTAAGAAACATATTTTTAATGTTTTAAAAGAAAGCTTTTATAAATTCCAATCGACGGTAACATTGGCTGCTCGGTCAATGAATACCGAATGTTTCATTATCAGTTTATATTACATTACCATGAAGTTTTCTTGTTTTTCCTTTGTCCAAATTCATTTGACCTTAAGACGAGAGTTTTTTTTTCTATTCAACTATTAAGATTCTGGTTTTGCATAGTTTTTTTCTATTCAACTATTAAGATTCTGGTTTTGCATAAGAGTAATTAATTATAATGATATCCCCATGAATATATCAGTGGCAATAATATCTTTTCATAGCAATAAATCGATACCTTCAACGTTTTGACGGGACCTCGAATACGGAGACTGCATCACCTGCTGAGAAGTAAGAGCATACTCGGTCCAGACAAAAGAAAAAAAAAAGAGGCCACTAACCGTGTGGGTGTTATTGGGCTAGGGAATGGACGGTCAATGTTTACCTATAGACACAAATCTAAAAACAACCGATGTTTACTTATGGACATAAATGTGAACACTCCCACGGCGCATCGCAAACAAGAGGAATATTGAGTAACGCATCGATAAAGTCACAAGGAAAATGGAAATCAAAAGGACATTTATAGCCAGAATTAGAAAGAAACAACTGAAATTTCTCCGACGCATAATGAGGAAGGACGGCATGGAAAATCAACATTTACAGGACATATCGAATGTAAATTGAACAGGGGGAGGCAACCTGATGAGCTTAGATAGAAGGATGAGGATTTACAAAAAAAAAAAAACCCAAAAAAACAAACATTACTAAGAGCTACAATAGATGGGAAGTTGTGGAGAGCCATAATCGCACACAGAAAGACAAAATTTATTAATAGCTACAAAGAAATTGGGGAGAGACATGATCGCCTACGTTCTGAAGAGACATAAAAGAAGAAATAGAAGAAAAATAAATATTTCCAAATAACATTGAGCAGTTTAAGGTGTTTATAAACTCGAAGCAAGCTGCAAGATCAGCTCACGTAAATAGATGCAGAATAACTCACACTATGTTGCAGGGATTATGCAGATTTTTAACGATGTATATTATAGACACAGACGACGCTTTATTTGGTTCTTTTCCTTGGGAACTGACGCCAATCTCTTAGCGAATATCGAATATCTTCCAATATGGAGGCCTGGTTTAGTGAACGCGAGTAGAGAGGTTGAGGCGGAAAAGGAATGGGGGTTTTGCCGGTGGGCGGATGTATGGATTGGTAAGGCTAGGTAGTCAAATAAGGAATATGGTGTGCTGGTCGCCTCGACCAAAGAGTCTTGTACAGTTATGAGTGTACGAAGTTCTTTAGTTGAGGATATTGCTCGCCTCACAATGGAGAAAACGTGCGCCACACAGTAGCGGCGGCGGCGGCGAAAATGGATTTTTGAATCTGTTACGTTGAAATTCCAGCCCGAGACCACCCTTGTCCTGTCTCTGCGTCTTTCGACTATACACAACCCCCCAATACTTTATTCGTTTTTTTTTTTTTTTCGCATCTCCCTACTCCTCGCCGATTGCCATCTCCAACAGTGGGATCATCTTCTTTCCATTTTTGATTCACCTCTTTCTCACCGCCATTATTCATTGTACCAAAAGCAGTATTCTTTCGAAATGCTTGTTTATTTCGTTCTTTCTACTTCATGTTTTCCATTCTTTCTTTCATTCATTCATTCACTCATTCTTTCATCATTTTCCGTATCAATTATTTTATCTTTCTTTCTTTCTTTCTTTCTTTCTTTCTTTCTTTCTTTCTTTCTTTCTTTCTTTCTTTCTTTCGTCGGCATCCATTCATTTCATTCATAATTTTCTCAATCAATCATTTCATCTTTCTTTCTTTCTTTCTTTCTTTCTTTCTTTCTTTCTTTCTTTCTTTCTTTCTTTCGTCGGCATCCATTCATTTCATTCATAATTTTCTCAATCAATCATTTCATCTTTCTTTCTTTCTTTCTTTCTTTCTTTCTTTCTTTCGTCGGCATCCATTCATTTTCATTCATAATTTTCTCAATCAATCATTTCATCTTTCTTTCTTTCTTTCTTTCTTTCTTTCTTTCGTCGTTTATCCATTCATTTCATTCTTAATTTTCTCAATCAATCATTTCATCTTTCTTTCTTTCTTTCTTAGTTTCTTTTTCTTTCTTTCTTTCTTTCTTTCTTTCTTTCGTCGGCATCCATTCATTTCATTCATAATTTTCTCAATCAATCATTTTCATCTTTCTTTCTTTCTTTCTTTCTTTCTTTCTTTCGTCGGCATCCATTCATTTCATTCATAATTTTCTCAATCAATCATTTCATCTTTCTTTCTTTCTTTCTTTCTTTCTTTCTTTCGTCGGCATCCATTCATTTCATTCATAATTTTCTCAATCAATCATTTCATCTTTCTTTCTTTCTTTCTTTCTTTCTTTCTTTCTTTCTTTCTTTCTTTCTACTTCATCTCTGCCTTTCATTCATTTTCTCATTATTTTCAGTATCAATCATTTCATCTTTCTTTTGACTTCCTCACTTCTTTTCTTACATTCATTCATTCTTTCATTCACCCTATCAATAGTTTCATCTCTGTTTCTTTCTTTCTTTCTTTCTTTCTATTTCATATCTTCCTTTCATTCACTCATTCTTTCATCATTTTCGTATCAATTATTTCATCTTTCATTCTTTTTTCTTTCTTTTGACTTCACACTTTCTTTCATTCATTTATTCTTTCATCAGTTTGTTTATAAATTATTTAATCTTCCTTTTTCTTTCTATTTCATCTCTTACTTTCATTCATTCTTTCATCATTTTCTGTATGAATCACTTCATCTTTCTTTGTTTCCTTTGACTTCATACATTCCTTTCTTTCATTCATTTATTCTTTCATCTGTTTGCCAATCAATCCATCTTTCTTTTGACTTTATATCTCTTCTTTTCATTAGTTCATTCTTTCATTTTCCGTATCAACCATTTCATCTTCTTTCTTTCTTTCTTTCTTTCTTATTAATCCATTAACTCTCCTCTATTTTGACACATTTCACATTTTTCTACTTCTTTCGTTGTTAAATCCATGTCAGATTTCTTTCTTTCTTTCTTTCTTTCTTTCTTTCTTTCTTTCTTTCTTTCTTCGCCATCCATTCCGTTCATTCATAATTTTCTCAATCAATCATTTCATCTTTCTTTCTTTCTTTCTTTCTTTCTTTCTTTCTTTCTTCGCTGTCCATTCCGTTCATTCATAATTTTCTTTCATTTCATCTTTCTTTCTTTCTTTCTTTCTTTCTTTCTTTCTTTCTTTCTTTCTTTCTTTCTTCGCTGTCCATTCCGTTCATTCATAATTTTCTCAATCAATCATTTCATCTTTCTTTCTTTCTTTCTTTCTTTCTTTCTTTCTTTCTTTCTTTCTTTCTTTCATCAGTTACATTATTTTCCTTATCTATCAATTCATCCTGTTACCGTTTCCCGCCCTCACACGGATTTTCTCTCCAGTTCAGTTTTTTCTTTTTTCTTTCCGTCACCTTTTATTTTTTTTTATTTCGTATTCGTTTCAGTTTTCTTCCTTTCTATTTTGACAATTTTCCCTTTTTCTTTTATTTATATTTCCACTCGAAAATTTCTTCTTTTCTTTCTACCATTTCATCTTTCTTCTCCTCTTAATCCTTTTTTCTTCTTTCATTCCTTTCTTTCTAATTTCATCCATTTCTTTCGTCTTCTCTTTCATTCTTTTAACTCTTATTTCCAATCAAACGTGCCTTCTGGCTGCCCATCCTTTCTTCAAATTCTCAGCGGCGCCAACTTTCGCCTTTTCTCATTCCTTACTCTCACAGATTTCTACCTCTCTTTCAACTCCCTCCCACCAACTCGTTCCTGTTGTTCCCGATGCAACCCCCCCCCCACATCGTAATGTTGGTCGAAGATATCGGTTGCTGGGACGGGCGGACAACGAACGAACGGTCGGTTGGTCGTGTGGCACCAGCCAAGTCGAAAATCGATTCAGGATGCTTCGAGATCTCGTAGGCATTCGGGTAGAATGGAATGACAGCCGGTGCGAAGCCTGTGAGTAGTAGTGGGTGTGGAAGGGTGGCAATATTGGAAGGCAGGGGACGGACGTGGTAGAAGCTCATATATATATATATATATATATATATATCTAAAGTCCCAGCGTGCTTACACTGTCATGTGTTAATATGGACGATCGTCTGTGCATATATTTAGAGACGTATACATATCTGAATAGAAGAAGAAGAATAGAATGGACTGAGTTAGAGAAGGTGATAAATAGAGACATATGTACGAGTGGGTGTGCTTTTGTAGAAAGAACTTAGTACGGAGATTGATTCCAACCAACAGGAGTTAGGTTCGATTCCAGTGAAAACATAAGTTCTAAAATCATTAACTGATTTAATCCTTCGATAAAAAGTATCTACCTCTATAAAGCTCTGCAAAGGAAGCTTCGCTATGATATAATGATTTGCGAATTGGTGTTAAATGTTATTGCTACCGCCTGGTGTCCTTCATTTGTATCAGTGTGCCTGATGAAGCTAAACGTAATATCCCATGATAGATTCAAAGCTAATTTACTCATTAATATATATATATATATATATATATATATATATATATATATATATATATATATATATATATATATATTAAGAATAAAAATGACAATAGAAAAACTGGTAATTGCTGACGCTTTTCCAATGTGGATTTTATCAAAAGCAAAATACGAATTTTTTTCCGTATTTTTTGCTTATATATAAATAAAATACGAAAAATTCGTATTTTATTTTTTGATAACAAAATTGGACGAATGGACAATAAATTAAAACTTTTCTATTGTCATTTTTATATTCATAAATATTGTCTTCTCTACCGATTAAATCGGAGAAATTTTTATATATATATATATATATATATATATATATATATATATATATATGTATAATATATATATATATATATATATATATATATATATATATATATGTACAAGCGTTTTTGTTTGTAATGTGTATGTATGTGTGTATTTGTACAAATGAGTTTACTAATTCCTCGTAGTAAGACAGTATATGTATGGAGACGCATGGAATATACTCACGCATATATACACGCATGCTGACAGAAACACACGAAAATGGAAACAGATCTAAGAACACACAGGGGTCATTAAAACATTAAAAGATAAAATACCGATAAGTAATTCATCATTTCTCTTGGACCAATCGTAATTGTTTTATGACCCTTTGCGCAGAACTCTTCACTAGCAATTCAAGAAAGACATTCGGATTACTAACACAAAAACAGAGAATGTCTCATATCGAGAATATTTAACATTGAAAAACATAAGGAAAAAATTAATTATTTTTAATAATATGTGGAAATCTCCGCCTTTTACCTGAAGACGGTCGCGAGACCAGAAACACGTGTAGTAAAATTATTGGAAATAAAGCATAATATTTTTTTAAAAAAAATTCCACATTACAACCAAAAACGTTTGCGGCACCTCTCTTCTCTTCTTTTTAATATACACACTTTTCTCTCGTTGGAACCACTATAACTTCTTTCTTTATATATATATATATATATATATATATATATATATATATATATATATATATATATATATATGGGATAACGGTATATAAATTATTATTTATCAAGAACAGTTTCGGTGGAAAGATGTATGACAAAGTGTAAAATTTTTTTGTGTGACGTGTTTCGTCCGTTACGTTGAGGCATCTACAGTTGCACACGAAGGAGAGACGAAGGAATTTTAAATTTAGAATTTTTTAAAAATGTATCTGGCATATATATTTTAGCCAGTTTCCTTTACATACATTTATCCTTTTGTTTCCACCATCTTTGTTATTAGATATCACACACACACACACACACACACACACACATATATATACACACACACACACACACATATATATATATATATATATAATGAAAATGAAAGAAATCTGTGAAGAATTATGTTCACCTGAAGAGACATGGTCCTGAAGTGACATGGTATTTAAAATTATATATATATATATATATATATATATATATATATATATATATATGTTTGTATATATATGTTTGTATATATATATATATATATATATATATATATATATATATATATATATATATATATATATATATATATATATATATATATATATATATATATATATATATATATATATATATATATATATATATGTATATATATATATATGTATGTATAAAAACTTCAGTGGCGCTTTTTACATACACTTATGCTCTGATATGTGTATGTGAACTATGTATATATATATATATATATATATATATATATATATATATATATATATATATAAGATACGATGAGAACAAGTAGTACTATGAACTATTTTCAGATTAGGTGGTATCAACATAGTTTGTTCTTTACTAATATTACTTACAGAAATAATACGTCACTTTCTAAATATGTTTTTGAGTTTAAAAGATGATAATAAGACCCCTAAGGTGAAATGGAAAATTTTAAAAATTGCAAGGACCTGTAGATCTTTATATGAAACCTATCTTGTGTGTTTACATTAAAAACTCGAAATCATCAGATTTTTTGACAAAAATTCATTGTTTATTCAAAGAAATGAATTAACAGTAAATTGTAAGCATATTTTACGTTTACGTTACAATTTAGTTAAACTTTGGAATTTGATAATACTTTTTCTTATACTTTAGTTGTACTGCGTTATACTATACATGACTTATCTTTCTATATGTAAGATTAATCTGGATTAAATATATTTTGTATTAATTTCCTGGTAGTATTGGAAATATGTTGTACAAATCTATTGGTAATTTGTTCACATTTTACATTGATTGTTTAATGTTCTTAATATTTTATATGAAGGATCGTTATTTAACAGTTGCATATTAATTTACCAATTAATTCTATATTTTTAAATTATTTACCAGTTTTTTAAAGAAGGTATTTATTTATCAACTGCAAAAAATTTTTATGTAGGAAATTTACAAAGCATATAAATGTTTAGCATTTTGTTAAATTACCTCTCCACCCCACTTTTATTTCTTAGTAAACTTCATTGTCTGGTTTGGATAATTTATGTAACCATATCTATCCGCTTTAGTTTATGTCTGGCTGTCATTTGCTCCCAATCTACGGATCAGGACCCATTTATAAAAAACAATTTTTAATTTTTGCTCCTTCGCTTAATTTAAATTTAACGTAGATCATATTTGATTGGCTGATCAAAGTAAGGGCCACAAACTTCATAACGCCATTTTTTCGTAAAAAGAAGTTGTATTTTGCTTTTTAATTTAAATAAATTGTTCACTCCCCAATAATTTACAACCGCCTGATGAGATCCATTGATACGCATTGAAACACGATATATATATATATATATATATATATATATATATATATATATATATATATATATATATATTGCTCTGACTGAAAATTTTAGGGAATTTGAATTTATTGCCAAAGTTCTGCATCTGTCAAGCCACGTTTAACATATTACGCAGGATATTTCACACAAATTCTTGATATATATTGATCGAGGTCCTCTTAAAGAAAAATGTGCCTCTCGACAGAAATCGAACTTGTATTCCTTTTTTTAGTCAGTGAAACCACTCCTTAGCCCGATATAGGCCGATTGATATTACATTCACTGTCTAAGAAAAGACAAAAAATGAGTACCGACTCAAACGTTTACCTACTAAAAATAAAGTTTATAGTTGTAAGAAATAATTTCGGCTTAAATCAATTTTAAAAATACAGTAGAATCTCTCATATCTGGAATCCCTCATATCCGGAGTGCCTTTATATCCGGAATCCCGTATATCCGGACATGATTTTGATGTGTATATTTAAACTAATTGGGTGATATATAATTGATTTGAAAATTGTTTTTCAGGAAATTTACTTTGGATAATTGCATATGCTTATTTCACACTAATGGCTTGCATTCGTGCAAAAGATGATGGGAATAAGAGGAAAAGAACAGCTTTAGAGTTATCACAAAAAGTGGAAATTTTAAACAGACTAGACGTTGTTACTAATGGCTGAGTTCAACATAGGAAAGTCAACATTGTATGATATAAAATCTTCCAAAGAAACTATTCTCCAGCATTTACACAGTCACAATGAACAAGGAAATAAAAAAACATGATTGTGATGAAACCTGGACTGAAATTGAAAAAAACTATTGAAAAGATTGTCAGTTTTATGGAAAGAAAGCCAGAATTCAGCTATGACGATTGCAACAACGCACGCAGAGTTAAAAAGTGTATTTCGTTTCAAAAGTTTCAAGAACAAAAGCAAAACGAAATGCGGTAAAAGTTGAGAATGATATTAGAAGAGAAAGAATCATCATGCAACAGCAATTAAAAAATCCTCGTTTTATTATTTGTTTTGCTTACGTGGCAGACTTAATTTAATGAATTTTCATTAACATTACATAATTTATTTCTTTTTCTTTAAAATCAATTCCGTTATTTTTCACTCGCCATTAACTTATTTTGTTTACTATAAAACATTGAAAATAAATGTTAAACTTGATTTCAGTTCTTTTATTTTAATCTAAATATAACCCCTCATATCCGGACATTGTAACCAATTCCTCATATCCGGAATTCCGGTTGTCAGGGATTCTACTGCAATTGATGTGTATGTAAACAAAAAACACAGGTGTAGACCAAGCAAACAAGAATGACTATTGAAACCATACAGGGAAGCGTGACGCAGACACATCTTCATTTGTGTGATTCTAAAAAGAAGAGGAACTGAGTGACTCAGCAGTTTTTGGTTTGATAATCAGATTCTGCGAGATGATTTTAAATTCCAGCTGGAGCTGTTAATGTATAACGATGATTTGACTATCTACCTTTTCA